ATTTTAAAAATAATAATAATAATAATAATAATAATAATAATAATAATAATAATTTTTTGAACGTGAAAACACGATTCATGGCAATTTGTACCACCGATACCATCGTAGCGAACCACAAGAATTATTGAACCGTTATTTTTACGATTGGTAAAAATTATTATCATCATAATCATTATTACTATTATTATTATCGATACACAATTATTATTATTATTATTATTATTATTATTTTTGACCCGAAGTGGTGAAACACGGGAAAAGAAATTAATTTTTAAACTTTTTGTTTTTTTTTTTTGCAAAATTTTCATTGAATTTAATAAAAAAAAAAATTCCTTTTTTCTTTTTTCTTTTTTTTTTTTTTTTGTTGAATTTTTCAAGTCGTTTTTAAAAATGGCCGTCGCGCGGGGGGAGGGGAGGAAAATGTCGTTTTAAAACGCGAAAAATGGGAAAAAAAAAAAAATAAAAAAAAAAAATGAATGTTTCGGTTTCACATTTTCATTTTTTATGCACGCATAAAAAAAAAAAAAAAAAAAAATAAGTGTAAAATAATAAGACTGTGCAATTTCGTTTTTACGTTAATATCCGGTTAAATTTACAGTTACAGTTAATGACCATAAAATAATAATAATAATAATAATAATAATAATAATAATAATAATAATTGTACAATGCATAAGGAAAAAAAAAAGAAAAAAAATGTCAAACTTAAAACGGTCTCGATGTAATTCAATGACGAACGTCAAAAAATGATTTCAACCGTTAAAAATTCAACTTGAAAAGTACACACGTGAAAGTTCAAAACGTGTTTTCATTTTTTCACTTAAATAATAATAATAATAATAATAATGATAATGATAATAATAATTTTTTAAATTAAAATGTCACGTTTTTTTTTTTTTTTTTTTTTTTTTTTAAAAAAAAAAATTAATTTGGATTTTTTAAAAAAAAAAAAAAAATATAAAACGAGTATGAAAAAATCTTGGCGTAAAAAAAATTATTATTATCATCATTATTAAAACGGTTGAGTTGTTTTTTTGCCCAAAAAAAAAAAAAAAAAAAAAAAAACTTTTTCTTACCTTTTTGGAAACATCAATCATTGTTTCACCGATTGTTTAAACAAACAACAAAAAAATTCGGCCGGGATTTTGCCCTCCTAGGGTTGAACAATCAACAAACAACAATTTGTTGGTCTCTGAAAAAAGAAAAAGAAAAATTTCGGGTTTGATAAATTGTTAACCAATTACGTTTAATTAACTTTTTTTTTTCGAATGATAATGATAATTAATTGAAGTTTTCCGAAATGGATAATTAAAAATTGATGTTAAAATTTAAGAAAAAAAAAATGGATTTTAGTCGTTTGTAGTTTTATCTTGATTTTTTTTTTGTCCTCATCCATCAAATCTCGGTTGATTAAACAGAAAAAGAAAAAGAAAATAAACACTAAAAAATTATGAAAAAATGCCACAAGCATGAAATGTGGTAACGTTTCGATCAAAAAAAAAAAAAAAATGTAATAAGACGAATTGTTTAGTCTTGAGATTTGAATGTGATTTCATTTTTTTTTTTTTTTTTGAGTGAGTGCAACGGCTGGAACATCTTTAATTTTAAGACAAAGTTAAAACGTGGCAATAAAAAAGAAAAAATAACAACAACAGAAACCCTTCATTTCAACTTTTTGGATCATATTTAGACTCGTGTCATAGATCAAATTTATTTTTGGTACAAACAGAAAAAGGGGAACTTGAATCTCCTCTACTCATTTAGCTTTTTTTTTTATAATTTTAAACAAAGAAGATTTCACAGCCGTGGTATTTAAATAGAAAAAATTTTTTTTATATCCTTTGAGCACATTCTTCTTGTACTGTCGCCCTTTTTTTTAAAAAAAAAAATTGTATCAACGATAGATAATTTAATTAAAAATTCGATTAATTAATCGCCAATTTACCAAAAAAAAAAAAAAAAAAAAGGATGTAATTATTTGAAGTAATTAATAAATGGCAAATAATTTGTGGCTTTCGTCAATCATTTCACGTAAATTAAAAAAAAAATTCTTATTCCACGTTCGACGTATTCAGGTATTAATTAATTGATTGAATTTTTTTTTTTTTTTTTTTTATTACGTCGTGTGAAAGTTTAAATTACTTTAAAAATTTAATCTTATGTCAATAAACTCTTCGTTATTAATAATCATCATTATATATGAATGTAATAATAATTTATTTTGACAATCTTTTCACGTTTTCCCTACGTGTTTCCTCCACTAAAATTATTATTATTATTATTAAACTGTTTCGTTGAAATGTATAATTAAATTCATCGCATTTCGTTTTATGTACTTATTTATTAATTTTTTTATCGATTATTTGTAATTGTTGTTAAAATTCTAGGTTTTTCATTCGATTGTTTGATGATGCCTGTTTGAAAATTAAAAAATTTTCCTTTTTTTTAGTTTTGGGAAGTCATTTCGGAAGAACATGGAATCGATGAAACGGGAATTTATAATGGAAACTCCGATTTACAATTAGAAAGGATAAATGTTTATTACAGCGAAGCGTCTGGTAAACTTCTTTTTTTTTAAAAAAATTATAAACGTAAATTTTTATAATAAAATGATAATAATACGTAATTATTTGATAGCGGCGAGAGGCAGCGGTGGAAAATATGTGCCTCGAGCTATATTGCTTGATCTCGAACCTGGAACTATGGATGCAGTCAGAGCTGGAGCCTACGGTCAACTCTTTCGTCCGGATAATTTTGTGTTCGGTCAAAGTGGCGCTGGAAATAACTGGGCAAAAGGTCATTACACAGAGGGTGCCGAATTGGTAGATTCGGTTTTGGATGTGGTTAGAAAAGAAGCTGAAAATTGTGACTGCCTCCAAGGATTTCAGTTGGCTCATTCTTTGGGTGGTGGCACGGGATCGGGAATGGGTACTCTTCTCACGTCTAAAATCCGTGAAGAATTCCCTGATAGAATAATGAATACGTATTCGGTAATGCCATCGCCTAAAGTGTCTGACACGGTTGTGGAACCTTATAACGCTACATTGTCAGTACATCAATTAATCGAAAATACAGATGAAGCTTATTGTATAGATAACGAAGCCCTGTACGACATAAGTTTTAGAACTCTTAGAGTGTCAAATCCATCCTACGGAGATCTTAACCATCTAGTTTCAATGACAATGTCTGGTGTTACTACTTGTCTTAGGTTAGTAAAAAAATTATTCGATTATTATTATACGATGAATCGGATTAAAAAAAAAAAAAAAAAAACAATTCAATTTTTAGGTTTCCAGGTCAATTAAACGCCGATCTTCGAAAATTAGCTGTAAATATGGTGCCTTTTCCAAGACTGCACTTTTTCGTTCCTGGTTTTGCTCCCTTAACCTCAAGAGGATCTCAACAATATCGCGCTTTAACGGTACCGGAATTGACTCAACAAATGTTCGATTCGAAAAACATGATGGCGGCTTGCGATCCTCGTCACGGGAAATACATGACCGTCGCCGCCATTTTCCGTGGAAGAATGTCAATGAAAGAAGTCGATGAACAAATGCTTGCCGTTCAAAACAAAAACAGTTCGCATTTCGTCGAATGGATTCCAAGCAATGTAAAAACGGCCGTTTGTGACATACCTCCTAAAGGATTGAAAATGTCATCGACTTTCATAGGAAACACAACGGCCATACAAGAAATATTCAAAAGAGTTTCTGAACAATTTGCAGCCATGTTTAAAAGAAAAGCTTTCTTACATTGGTACACTGGAGAAGGAATGGACGAAATGGAATTCACTGAAGCAGAATCAAACGTTAATGATTTAATCGCCGAATATCAACAATATCAAGTAATTT